AGCTTCTACTCCCCCAAAACAGTTTCACTATGCAAGGAACATTGCTCAGCCTCAGTATAGCAAGGCTATCGCCTAAGCGGGTAGTATATACAGTGAGAGTTCTGAACCAGAATTCAACAATAATAATTACTAGCTTGCTTTTTGCTTGCTGGGCACTGAGCTTTGCCTTAGCTGTCTTATAATTAACAACATTTGAGTGAGTGTCATAGGCCTATGTGAGAAGTAGCGTTATTAACCCACTTTACAGAAAGGGGAAAACTCCTGAGGCCCAAATCAGAACAGTCTCACACACAAGCACTGCAGTACCATTAAAAAAAGAAGAAGATAAAGAACCAGTGAATTGTCATAAGAAGCTCAAGAGATAGATGACTTAAAGACAGAAGCTTGTCAGCTTTCTGAGTGTAAGGAACATTTCTGCCTCATCTACTGGTTTCTACAGACACTCAAAGAGCATAAGAAACCAGCCATTCAGTAAATGTCTGCTGAATAAATGAGGATCTTGGAGGAGAGTTGTATTTCTTTCTAGGGAGACATGAACAAATATCTATTCGTCCCAACATAGGGAACCAACCAGGGACAAAAGTAACAACTCCACCAAAGTTCAACTTGGCTAAGCAGTTTACTGTCACTTACAGTAGTGCAGTGAGGTATTACTTAGAGCAGCAAAGATAACACGTCAGAATCATTACTGAAAAAAGGGACTCACAAAAACTGTGTTCTTGGAACCCTCTGTGAAGTTTTCAGGTAGCTGGGAAAGAAGAACATCTTTTCTCCAAATCTTTTCTCTATCTTTTCTTCTGTTTTCTTTTATTATCCTGTAACTTTGGGGAGAAGCCTTGTGGATCTTGTTAATTTTCAGCTTTTTCAGACATAGATGATTCACTTTCTGAGTCGCATTAGAGCAGCATGTGGCTGAAGACGCTATAGAAGATGTGTTGGGAAAGTCAAGTTGGAGTCAGATGATGAAGACCTTTGAATGGCAGACAAAGGACATTGGGTTTTATTAGCAAACAAAAAGAGATACTTTAGGAAATTTTTAACAGATGGATAATAAATCAGTAGGAAACATGAACATGAAAACAGGGAATCAATTAGGTATTAGCTCCAAGTGCCAAGGAGTGAGAGAAGAGAAAGAAACAGACAATATCAAGAGTATAGACTTACTAAAAGCTCTCCTTGGATACACTGCAAGTAGAGCATTGTACAGTATTAAACATGGTTGCAAATTCTTTGGCAGACTTACCTCTGGGAGAGAAGGCTTATGTCCCTCTTCTTGAATATGAACAGGCTAAGTTTAAGTCTATTTCAACTAATTGACTAAAGCAGAAAGAGGGTGTGGCTTTCAAAGCTACATCCTAAAAGTTCAGGTATTTTCTACCTGTCTAGGAACATGTTCAAGGTATGATTACCCTAAAGTCTTGATGCTGAAACCCCTTTCCTGGAGCAGATGCAAAGCAATATCTACCCCTCCTCCAGAGGTTCCAATGACAAACTGAGGCATGCTTCTACCAAAGTTCACTCTGATGAATCAATTTATTGGGCTTTTTACAAAGCTTTTGGGAAGTTATTTACAAGGGTTTAGGTACACCTCCTTCAATTGGCCCCACCCAAAAAGCCTTACACAACTGTAATTAGGGCTTCCCTGTAGCCAGATAGAGCACATGCTCCTAGTCACACACACACACACACACACGCACACACGCACACACGCACACACGCACACACGCACACACGCACACACGCACACAGAGGCTTGCCAGGAAGTAAGTAGTGGCTGGATACTCAGGAAAGAACCCCACGCCCTATGCTATGCTTCTGTGCTAGATGTAAACCATTAACCAACCTAACTGGGATGACTTTTTGAAAGGCAAGCATAGCTGAACTCAAGATGGTGGTTGCTTGGCTCAGGGGACAGTCATGCACAACAGACCCCTGTTGTAGAGAGAGCTCTTGTATGAACCCAGGGCTACTTGTATAGGTGAACCCAGCTTTCTGCCATCTCCACCAATACACTAGAATTGAGATAAGTATCCCTCATCCCTCCAAACCAGCTCATTTGGTGACTCTATCTTCCAAGACTAATAGAAATAGAAACTTTCCTCAGCTGAGACTTGCATGAATTCCTGACAAAATAACACGAGCTGTATTTAAATTGCTTTAATTAAGCTTTGCGAGTAATTTATTACATACATAGTTTTCAGAGAACAGAACAATTTTGAGAATTCAAGAGAGCATTAATTATGCCCCCAAAAGGAGCCTGATGAGACATGCTTCTCCTGTCTTTACGGTTTTTGAGATTCTGTTCATTATTATAACATGAACATTCAACTCAGCACCAGCAAACCTTTACTGACTCGGTAATTCTGTTCTGCTTCCTTTTCTTCTTCTTTCTAAAGAGGATTTATTTTTTTATTCAGAGAAAAAAGGAGAGAGAGCGAGAGAGGGGAGGGGGGAGGTGGGCATGCACCTGCTGTGTGTGTGTGTGTGTGTGTGTGTGTGTCTGTATCTGTGTCTGTGTGTATGTCTGTGTCTGTGTGTCTGTGTGTATGTCTGTGTGTGTGTATCAGAGATCAACTCTGTGAAACTATTTCCTATCTTTACAAGGTGAGAGGACCCCTAGGTATCCAGGAAGGTAAGCAAACTGAAGAGATGAGAATGACAACTTGGTTCAGATTGACTTCGTCAACCTGGATAAAGATATATGTTTAAAATTTAAACATATAATTTGGGGGAAAAACATTTCCTTGTGTAACACATTCCCTGGTACACAAGGAAGCATAATTACATTAAAACCCAACCCAGGGGGCTGGAGAGATGGCTCAGTGGTTAAGAGCACTGACTGCTCTTCCAAAGGTCCTGAGTTCAATTCCCAGCAACCACATGGTGGCTCATAACCATCTGTAAAGGGGTCTGATGCCCTCTTCTGGTGTGTCTGGAAACAGCTACAGTATACTCATATAAATAAAATAAATCCTTAAAAAAACATTAAAAAAAAAACTTAACCTAGGGAGTATGTCATTTCTACCAGGAAGTTGAGTTCTGAAGATAGGCTACCTGTGCTAGCTTAAGCACTTAGAGAAGGCTGTGATGTGGTCTTTGTCATATAGATAGCATAGGCATTTAAGCTATTACCCACCTCTGGTCCTGGTTGTGGGAGCTTGGGAGACCCTCTAGATCTATATATAATGTAAAGGTCATTTAGACTATTAGGTATCTCTGGTCCTGGTTGTCAGAGTTTGGGGAGTCCCTGGTTGTAAGGGTCATTTAGATTACTGACTACCTCTGATCCTGGGTGTAGAAATTTAATATAGCCTGGACCAACAGATATTCCAGATCGCCAGGCTAGTAATCATTTCCAATTCCTAGCTTTCTGGAAAAACATGCTATATGTCTTTGAAAGAAAATTCCTGATTGCAAAGAACCATGGAGTTAGCCTAGCCTAGCTGCCTTGGAAAGCATGCAATATATGTTTTTCAGGTTAGAGTCCGTGGCTCCTTGGGCACAACGTGCCTTTCAGTTACTGAGAGACCCATACCTTCTCTCAAGCAGTGAAGCATTCAGACCACTTCGTGTTTCTATGTATGTTCCCTTGGAAGTCAAGGAAGCATGGAAGCTCGACAGGACTACTGGTCTTAGTACCCTGCATAGCTTGCAAACATCCTTGTATACTGGCAACTACAACTGTATTAATTCTGAAAATTGATATCATATTCTATTTCTGATAAAGGTATTAAAAGTCTAACTGCTCTCAGTAAAATTGTCACAGCCTCAGTTTTGCTATGGCCTCCACATCAGAAACATGGTGTCATTCCTCATGGCCATATCAGGTGACCTTAGCTAAGTGTGAATGCTTAAACTACACTGGGTTCTCTGAAGACCTGTGGGCAGAAGGATCTTCATTCTGTGCTCTAATACGTGAGTTGCAGGAATCAAAGTTGGATCACCAGGCTTGTCCAGAAAATACCTCTAAGTACATCTGGCTTGTTTCTCCTTTGTATTACTATGCACCTTCTCTAAAGTTAACATTTTTTTTTTCTTAGTATAGGAGATTGAATTTAAGGTCCCATACACGTTAAGCAAGAAATCTTCCCCAAAACTGATTTCTAAAGCCAAACTCTGAATTTTTTGGTGTGTGCATGTGTTTGTATGTATGTATATTGTATGAATTTATGGCGTGTGCATGTGTTTGTATGTATGTGTATTGTGTATGTAATGAATGCCTGTGTGTTCATGTAAGGGTCAAATCTGCGTGCTCATATGCACATGCCAGAGAAGGGCACTTGATGTCCTCCTCTTGTTCTTTGCCTTATTCCCTTGAGAAAGTTTTCTTGTCGAGCACAAAGCTCACTGTTTTTAGATAAGCAGTTATTTTTATTTTTTCTAGGGATTATAACTCAAGTTCTCATGTTTGCATGGTACAGTCTCCCAGTTCTAATCTGGTAAACCTTAAACATTCAGCTTGATGGGAGTTGTAAATACAGTCAGACTCATCAGCTGTGTGCCCAGGTCAGGCGTGGGACACTCACTGCATTTCTCCTGCCCCATTCCAAAACTGCACTGCCCAGGGGCAGCTGTCACTTTAGTCCCTAACATACGTATTAATGTCATCTGTTGATGGTCTTCATGAAAGTGAAATCACACAAGAGAATTCATTTAAAATGTACCTTTGAAACTCATCCATGCTAATACGTGAAACATTGGTTTCTTCTTTTCCATTTCTGTATATAATTCCATCACAACTTAGCCAATCCATACTTGAAGATTTTGAATAATCCATCCTAGAGAAATTATACAAATAGCTGGTATGAACATCTTTCTATGTACTGTTTTATCAGCTGATATCTTAATATGATGCTGTTTTGGTTTGTTGTTATTGTTGTGGTAGTTTGTTTCTTTGTTTCTGTTTGTCTTTATTTATCTATTATTTGCTTATTTTTTATTAAGGAATTTTTAGCTCTTTAGAAATATTAACCTAACAAAGTCTGTAAGGAATGTTTTTCCTTGCTCCTAGAAGCATTGCAGGTCTGGCTGCTGTGGCACATGTGTGTTAGTAGGTGGAAGAGGGGAGAGAGGCTATGTATGTCTATGCTCAGTATTCTTACCTGTGAACATCTGAATGATCAATAGTTTAACATTCCTTGAAAAAAATGAGCCTAAAATGACTATCAATTCAGCATCAGGGGGTTCCAACAATGAGCTGGCCTAAGACAACCACCAGTCTGGTGTCAGGCAGACCCAAATGGGCTCCGAGGGCCACGAGCAAGCTGAAGAGTAGAAGAACCCCACCTGGGATTGTGGCCCAGCAGGAGTGAGGCCAAGACCGAGGAGTCTTACAAAGTGCCACTCGGGTGGGCAGGGTCAGGAGCCAGCCTAAAATGACCACTAGACTGGAACCACCATGAGGTCCAGACAGAGAGCTAGCCTGAGATGACCACTAGTTCAGCACTGTGTAGGTCTAGGGAACAGACTATGCCCACGATGACCCCTGCCCGCTGCCATAACACACAAACAGAGCATGGCACTTCTAAGACCATCCTGAGACGAAGCCAAGCACCTCAGAGAGGAGCGAGTAAATGGTGAAGAAACGGACGAGAAACAGAAGGATGTGGGCTCAATGAATAGAGACAAAACTGGACACTAGAGGGTAGTGAGGAGCAACATGATTTGAGTAGCCGATGATGCCTCCTGGAGTCATAGTGGGGTCCTGTCCTCTGCTGCTATGCCACCAGAGGCCATGTCTGGGTCTGTGGCTCTGCATTAGCAGGGGATTGTTATCTTCAAAGGCCAGTTGGACATCCCTGATCGGGGCTGCTGCAAAGGGACATGTTGATATCTGAGGGCTATGTAGACCTGGCCCCACCCCTCACCTGGGTATAATGGGAGAGCTGTCCCTGAAGGCATGAGAGCAGGAGGGATAACTCTCCAAACTTCCATCCAACTCTGGTACTCAGGAGAGTGACCCTGAATGTTGTAGGAGTTTCGAGTGAGTCAGCCCCAATGATATGAGTGGAAGAGCTGGCCCTCGTCTCCCATATGAGAGAGGTACCCCCCCCATCGCTCCTCACTCCCTGTAGGAGGCAGAATAATTGGCCCTGGGGTCATGAGAGCAGTAGAATTGGCCTTGCCCCTCACCACCTTCAGCACTCAGGAGAGCAGGCCCTGCACCTCACCTGGGCAGTGCAGTAGACCTGGCTCTGGATATGGGGGTTTCAGATGAGCTGATCATGAAGGTGTGAGTGTGGGAGAGCCAGCTGTGCCACTTATCTGCTGTGCAGTGACGTCCTGAAGGAAGAGATCCTCTCTGCTCCCTTTTGCCCTCACCACCACCAATGGTATAGCTGGCCCTATGGGGTCATGAGCACTAGAGAGCCAACCCTGCCTCTTGTCTACTGGGCAGAGGTGCAGACGAAGGAGACATGTCCTCCTCCCCTCCCTTGTTCATTGTCATCTATGGCAGGCAGGAGAGTTGGTCCCTGGGAGAACTGGCCATGTCCCTCCCAAGCTGCAAAACTTGGGAGAACGGCCCTGCAACTTGCCTGGGCAGTAGGATAGAGCTGTCCCTGGTTGCAAGGTTTACTGGTGAGCCTACACCAAAGGTATGAGAGCAGGAGAGCCAGGAGGCTGACCAGCTCAGCTACCACCCAGGCCCAGATTCATTGAACTGGCCACCCCAGCATCTACCCTATCTATTACTGCTGGAGTACATGAAGGGACCAGTCCTAGTAGATCCAAAACTACAGGATCTCTATGACACCCAGTAAAAACAGAATAGCCAAGAGAAGTCCCAGTAAGTATAAAATAGGAGAAGCCAGAGGCCTCATACCAGACCAACAATTTGCTGCACTGAACATTTGCAAGCAAAGAAGTGTAGACAAAAGGATACACTGTGGGACACACTGTGACACACTACAGATTTCACAATGAGATTTTGTTCTCTGTTGTGGGGAAGGTTGTGAGGGTGGAGAGTGGGTATGAGAGGTGGGGGACATGAGTGGGATTGGGGTTCATAATGTGAAATTCACAAAGAACCAATAAAAAATTAAAAATTAACTTAAAAAGTCTTTTAAATATTTTTTCAATTTACCTGCTTGCCAATTGCTTGACACTGTTTTGGGTTTTTTGGGTTTTTTTTTTTTTTAAATCTGATATGATCAGAAGGGCACAGGATTTGTAAGAGTGCCATCTCTGGCTTACCTTGTCCATGTTACACTGTCCTAAGTTTGTTACTGATAAATAACCAAGTTGGTTATTGACAAAGGTCTCGAGACCTTCACTGTCAAGAATGTCCCTGTGTAGATGGTGAGGTTGATTGTCACCAGGGTGTGTATGCTCTAGGCACTCTGACAATCAGCATTAAGAGGAAGAGATGATTCTTTCACCAAGAAAGAATGTGTGTGTTCAGTCAAGTAAGCTTTAACAGTGGACACACAGGAATCAGTTGTGAACATTGGTTTCCCTTTACTGTTTACTCCATGGACCATCTTGATTTAATCCCAGAAGTTCTGAAACTCCAGAATAAAGTGGGCTGGCTTGTCTGACCTAAAGCTGATCTCTTGTGCAGTCCAGACCTTGAATTCACTAGGATCTTTTTGTTTGCTTGTTTGTTTTGGTTTTTGTTTTTGTTTTTGTTTGTTTGGTTGGTTGGTTGGTTTTGGTTTTTCGAAACAGGGTTTCTCTGTACAGCCCTGGCTATCCTGAAACTCACTCTGTAGACCAGGCTGGTCTCAAACTCAGAAATCCCCCTGCCTCTGCTTCCCAAGTGCTGGGATTCAAGGCATGCGCCAAAAGCCATCTACCATCTGACCAACTGAACATAAGTGAGCCCCATGTACCCCAGATCCTTACAATATTTTTCAGATTCCTGCTCAGGCTTCTATTAGAGCCTCTAATTGTGCATTGCCTATCAGTAATCTTGATAGACATGTTCAACTGTACTCACCTTACGTTCCCAGTTAAGAACAGAGTAAATCAATATTTCATGTATGAATGCTTAAAGCCAAAGCTACAGTGTCTTCTTTAAATTTACATGTTATGATTCTTCACAGAGCTGTAAAGAAAACACTGGTGCAGTCTGTTGGTAATGCCTCTGCACTGCTGAGAACATTTACTGCTATTTAATGGAATTCCACAGGTTCATTCCTCCTCATAAGTCAGGGAACCTTGGTTGAGCTGTTGTCTGAGCTTTGCCAAAAGGTTTATCTCAAGATGCCTGCCCTCTTTAGCCCATGGAGGTGTGTGAAGGGGCCAAGGCTATAATTAGTGTGTCACAAGACAATGATTCTAAAATAGTATGCCTGTCACATAAAAATTAGATGTCATTCAAAGGAGGAGAGAGATCCTTAATACAAGCAGCTTAATAACAGAAAACCAACATACCATTCCTAGCAATCTAAACTTGTATTATCATTATCATTTAAACTATCTCATTTCCAACAGGGACCTCTGAGAAGGTGAGACAATAACGCTCTCCCAAAAACCTTCCCTCTTTCAGGCCACAACCCTGTGTAACATTATAGAGAATATGCAAAACCTAACTATTTAGAATAGTCACCATGATAAACACTGCCCAGAAACAGAGTGTCCCTCAGACTCCCAAGTCCAGCTCCTCAAATCCTATAAACCTACAGAGAAGTTTAGCACACATTGAGTTTTCCTTTAGTCACTGGGTGAAGGATAGATACTCTGTTCTGCAATATACTAAAGTGGGTTCCATATCACATCTGGTCTCTATGGGTGCTGTGATCTACTAGTATTGTCTGCCAGAGAGAAGCCAAGACAGATATATCTGCCATGTTTGTATAATATGATGAAACTCCAAATTAGATGAATTTTGAGGTCAAAGAAGCTGGAAACATCATCTCCTTGGTAAATGAAGTTAGATTATCAAGACAGAACATTTGGTTTTTTTTTTTTTTTTTTTTTTTTTTTTTTTTTTTTGTTTTTCGAGACAGGGTTTCTCTGTGTAGCCCTGGCTGTCCTGGAACTCACTCTGTAGACCAGGCTGGCCTCGAACTCAGAAATCCACTTGCCTCTGCCTCCCAAGTGCTGGGATTAAAGGCGTGCGCCACCACCGCCCGGCGACAGAACATTTGTTATTCCACTGTTTTCCTCTTTGGCAGAGTCCACAAGCAAGCTGTTCATTGACTCCTATTGAACTGAGTGTTTTTGTCCTTAAGGAAGATTTTTCAGGGGCTAGGGAGATGGCCCAGTTGGTAAACTGATACCTTCATGAATACCTAAGTTCTGAATACAGACCCCCTACACACACACACACACACACACACACACACAGCTGGCATGGCATTGCATGACTGTGACTCCACTGCAGTTGGGGGAGAGATGGGTAGCTCCCTGACTCTTGGTGCCTGGAACTACACTTCCAGCACCCCAAATATTTTAAATGGGAAAACAACCTTAAAAATTGAATTAAGTCTTTTATCATTTTCTAATTAAAAATCTGTCAGTCCAAAACAATATAATTCTATGATCCAGAACATTTAATTAAGCCACCAGTTCATACAAAGTAAACGTAAAAAAGCAAGTGATTGGCTGAGCTGGCTGGATACATCCAGAGCCGTAGACTAGCTGTTTAGAAGGTCCCTGTTTTTCAGACAGATATGTAATTCTCTCTAGCTTTTTCCACATATGTCTTCTTGTAATTGTGGGCAGGGTGCTTAGCTTCTCTAAGCAGTCTTTCCTTGTTGTAAAGTGGGTTTTATAATTCCTTCTTTGCAGGTTGTGTCAAAAAAATATCATTATCTTGATGAGCATGTGTTGTTCCCTATGTGTTCCTTAAATATTAGCTGCATTGACAAGAAATGTAAAAACCTTAATTTTTACCTTATAGATCAGTCAAGGTCTTTGGAAAAACAGAATTCATAAACTGAATATATAGGTAAGGGGGATTTATAAGAATGGCTTAGCAAATGTGATCCAGCTAGTCCAACAATGGCTGCCTACAAACAAAAGGTCCAAGAATTCAATAGTTGTTCAGTATACAAATCTGAATGTATCATCTGGATATATATTCTGGTTGTCTTTAATCCTACAGAAGTAGGGTCTAATGCCAAGCCGGGGGGGTGAAGGAGAGAGAGACCTTTTTCCATGTCCTTTACATAAGCTGCCCGCAGAAAGTG